GAATGGAATAGGTAAATCAGACAAGTTGAACGAATAGGTTTGCGTTATTATTATCATTATTATTGTTTTTTTTTTTTTTTTTGTACGAAGTGAAATATGAAGCGAAATATGAAGCGAAATATGAAGCGAAATATGAAGCAAGCTATAAATAAAAAGGTAAGTGAATTAATAAAGGAAATAATTCACTTTTACGTTTACTATAATTACTATTTAGTATTGTTTATTTAAATAATCGATGATATCATTAATGATCGTTTAGATTGATTTCTGGACAATCACGTGATCATACGGAGCACAACATCTACCCCCAGTCGGCGCGTCTACGGGCACGTACCAAATCACGTGATTTTGCACATACGATCATATCACGTGATCAAACGTATAGTGAAACGAGGAAAAGAAATTCATTTTATATTATTTTTTAAATAAGTATAGTATTTGAACAAGTTAAACAGTAAAAATAAATAAAGCACAGACTAAATAAACCGAAAGAATAAATAAGGCGTAAATACTAAGACTAAACTTCACGAACTAATTAACTGTTAAAATGCAGGAAAAAATGCTGCAGATCAAATTAAAATCACATTAAGAATTAAATTGCGCATAATTATCGTAGCCAAAAGAAAACTTTTTATCCAAAGAGAAGCCAATGTCCAATTTACGCCCTTTTGAGAATCAATTTCGTACATACTTATCAAGAACGTATCGTACCTCTCCAATAATAAAGTCAATTAGTAAATATTTTAAGAGTAAGTACGTTCTTGATAAGGATGTACGGAATTGATTGTCAAAAGGTATCTCTCTAAGTTCACTAATCGGAGTAACAAAATATATTATTAATCATCTAGTAGTTCTTCGATTAGCAAATGATTATATATAAGAAATTTAATTGTTATTTTTTTTTTGTTCGCTTTGACAAAATTTTAATAAAAAAAAGTATATACCTATTACTTAATATATTTTAATAAACGAATACTTTCATCATTTGTTAATAAAAGTTAATCATATATTACCAGTTATATTCATATAAATATTTGCCTCTTTTTATACGTGACTTACCTGTCAGTAGAAATATGGCAGAGCTCTATCGTTTCATTAGATTTCACAGGTCATATAACGTTTGAATTATAATCAAGATGACTGAGCCTATTATGCCTAGAGTGAATGACGAGTTTGAATCCCTAGAAGCTTTTGAGAACACTGCTCAATTAGCAGCAAAAAATCAGGGATTTGCCTTCTCAAGAAAAGATAGTAATCTTACTGGACGCAATGGAAAATCCCCTTTTGTTGTTCTGCAATGCACTAAAGGTGGATAATGGTGCAACTATTGGAATATTACAGAGGAGACTCGTAAGAGAAAGAAAAAGACTAGGCGTGAAGATTGTTCTGTATATATTAGAGCCACTGCAACAAAATGTCAATCTACTGCAGATGTTTTAAATACTGAAATAAAGTGGATCGTCACGAAAGTGGTACTTGAGCATAATCATACCAAGCTTAAATTGGATGAAGTTGTAACTTTCCCTCAGCACCATGCTATGAATCTACGCCAGAAAATTCTTGTACAACAGCTGCATGATAGTAATGCACCTACTTGTGTAATTACAACAGCCATTAACAAGATTAGTAATGGTGGAATGATTCTCTCAAAAGATATAGTAAATAAACATGCTCGTATTAGACTCGCTTTAAATGAAGGTTATAATAATGATTCCACTCAAACATTACTAAAACTTCTTGAAGAGCGTAATTATGTAGTTGTGCCTCATAAAACGGTAAAAGGGTATTTAACTCACCTTTTCTTTTTTCATATCGAAGCTGCTAAGTGTGTTGCAAAGTGTCCCGAAGTCTTAATTGTGGACTCTACATATAGAACAAATATTTATAAATATTCACTTGTTAGTGTGGTTGGTATTAATAATATTAGTAATGAGAAAGGTGTTTTAGCAACTTATCAAATCGCAATGGCCTGGATTGAAGATGAAAGCGAAGCATCATACACATGGTTCCTTCAAACACTTCGTACCAAAATTTATGATATCTATGGGTGCTTACCAGAAGTCTTTATGTCTGACAGAGACCAAGCATTAAGAAATGCCTCATCCAAAGTATTTCCAACATTGGATAAAATGTTATGTGTTTGGCATCTTCTGGAACAAAACTTAAAAGTTAATTGTCAAAAACTTTTTAAAAATGATGATGATTATGAGGTATTCAAAAAGGAGGTTGAAGCTTTACAGTTTACAGAAATTGAAGAAGAGATTCCTCAGTCCTTTGATGCAGTTAAAAAGACTGCAAGAAAAGCAAATTCTCCTGAAAAAATAGTATCATATATACAAACGTGGATGAAAGATTCAAGGATGTGGATATTAGCATATTCTAAGTGATACTGTCACATGGGAATATCAACTACTGGATGATCTGAATCGTCCCACAGTGCATTTAAACAATCAATCAAAACTGCTGGTAATTTGGAAAGTGTATTTCATCAGATTGATCAGGCAATGCGTTCCCAACATTTAAAGGCAGCAATAAGTACAGATTCTGACAAAGTAGTTATTGATCCATTTACTCTTCATAATCCTAGATTTAGTGAACTCATTGGAAATGTATCAACATGGGCAATTGAACATATAAAAAGAACATTACAAAAAAAACAAATCTCATACAAAAATACCGATGATTGTGAGTGCTTAACTAAAATTAATTACAAGTTATCTTGCCAACATATAATCCCAATGAATGGCCCAATTCCTCTATCAATAATTAACAAGAGGTGGCTTCTCGAGAGGCCAGATATTATAGAAATTCTACTCCCTTCGAAGTCTATTGACTCTGAATTTTATAATTCGTTTATTAATGCTGAAGAAAGATTTCAGCAATTGCCAGACAATATTGCTAAAGCTGAATTTATTACAAGAATTTGTCAAGCAACAAACATACCATTATTTGAGCCTATCAAGCTACCACAGAAAGCTGTACCCAAATCAAGCACTAAACGTGGATCACTTCAAAGTGAACGTCAAGATTCTGCTGCCAAAAAAAAGAAAAGAATGCTGGACAACATTACAAAACTTAAAAACAAAACTATCCAGCAACACGATATATCTATAAAACAGACTTTTATAATGTCACAACCTTCTGATTATAAGTTATATCAGGCAAATCTTCCAAAATTTATGCATGCACATGTTTTAGCATATAATGATGTAACAGGAGATGGTAATTGTGATTTTCGTACTGTTGCTATATCAATCGGAAAACCTGAAGACTACTGGCCTGAGGTTCAAAACTTATTTATAATGAACTTTGTGCTTGTAAATCTTATTATATTCAGCTGTTTTTGGAAAAAGAAAAAGAATATAATGAAATATTATTTATAACACAATGGAATGCTGGTCCCTATAATAAAGATTATTGGATGTCAATGCCATCTTTTGGATATGCTATTGCTAACACTTTTCAATGACCTGTTCATTATTTTAGCAAGTATCTTTCTCTCATATTCCTTCCTGATAACACACCATTAAATCGAAATACATTAATTTCTTTCATGTATATTCTTGAAAGATAGCACTTCATGGCTATTAAACTCAAGCCGAATATGCCTGTTCCTCCTATTACAAATAGTTGGGAAAACTTACATACTGAACATTGCAAAATGTGGAAACCTTTATTTCTAGAAAGAATAGCTCGTTTTAAGAAGAAATACGAAGAACAAAAGGAAAATATAGAATATGAAGTATAATTGTATGCAGATGGAAATTTAGTAACGATATATATTAAAGTTTTTTGTGATGTTAAAAGAATTGCTACTTTTTTAGTGCTTTTATATAGAAATAAATTTAAGCTTATATAATATGTATGAGTAGTTACCTTAAAAGTCAATGTCTTGTTATAAATTTTCTTTATTAACTTGCTCCTGCATTACTAAAAGAACAAGTTAAAGTAACATCTATATTGTATAGATAATCGATATATTTGATCACGTGATATGATCATACGTACAAAATCACGTAATTTGGTACGTGCCCGTAGACACGCCGTACCCCAGTATCGCCATAAAAAATTTTGCCCCCACGTAATTGATGTAACACAATGGTTCACATATATTTTTACGCTACTATAATGTTTCACATTAATACTACAAGGTTTCACATACTATTACAATGTTTCACATACATTATTATACTATTGTTATGTTGACGTCATATTTATTTGTCATTGTAATTGTACTGATTACTATAAATATTAAATTTCTTTTGTTTTATCTTTTCTTGAGTATACTAAAAATGCTGTAAAAATGGATCTGATTCCTCTTCAAATAAGTACCGATGATAGTGACATCACGCAAAAATACTGCAAAGGATGTGATACATATTGTCCTTGTAGTTTGTTCATTAATTATAAAAATAAAATTGTTCGTACCTGTAATATGTGCCACACCCAAGACAAAAAAAGAAATATAAGTAAAAAGCAATCTGAAGAACATGATAATGAAATAATTATAGATTTCTATGATTTTTATGATTATATAATGCAGTTTTTTGATCCATTCGAAAATGAAAAAGTAGATAAAGATCAAGAAAATTTAAAATCTTTGGAATTTGAATTTTTTTGTGTCATAAACATTTCAGCATTAGAAGGTGACTCGAAAGAACGAACCAATTGTATCATTGAAATTATATCAGATGTAAACGAATATAAATAGATGTAAGTTAAAGGATCAATTTTAAATAAAAAGATTAACTTATAATTAATTTTATGTTAACTATGTAGTTATCATTTAAAATATGTCAAAAAAAAGTCAAATTCGATAACTTACATTTATTACTGTTCACAAAGAAATTTTTTGGCTGAGAAATCAAAAAAACATATTGATGTTAATAAACACTGTGACAGACAATCAATTGAACGTTTTTACTATAAAGATCAGGTCACAATTACTGTTTCTCAAGAATTTGCATATGCTAATGTAGAGATTTATCATTATCTTCATCCACCCTGTTTAGATAATTCTATCTCTTCAGAAATTAAACAATATATTTTAAAAAATATTGATTTACTTCCATGTGAGATATATAAGCGTTTAGTAATGAATGACTTAGATATTAATATACACCAAAAGCAAATCCACCTTTGGTGAAATGAACTTGGTAAAAAAAGATATAAATATGATGACAATACTTTTATTTCAACACAAAAATGGCTGATAGAGAAGTTACATCAAATAATATTTCAAAATGAGTCTCCACAAGCACTAGAATTTTTGATCGGAATGTGGGACCTTATTAAAAGTTTCAAAATTCAAGTCAATGAGATTGGGATCGATTCCACATGTAAGTATAACTATTTGTTATATAGTAAAACCTCTATAAATGCATGTGCTTAAAATCAAACTTTAACAATGTGTATTTAAAGATCAATAGAAAAAAGTGCATTTATAAAGGTTATCTATATAGTTGGGTCCAAATTTGAATATGCATTTAGAGAGAGTATGCACATATAGAGAGTGCACTTATGGAAGTTTTACTGTATTATAAATAATATTTGCTGTGTTTATTATTAATAATATTTATTTATTTAATTTATTTATTATTAATGCAGTGTTATTATTTAATTTATTTATTACTAATGCAGATAATACGAATAATCTAAGATTTGAATTATTTGTTGTTCATGTTCAAATTGATGGGAGTGGATATCCATTGGCCTACTTATTTCTTGAAAACAATGAAAATTGTAATAATGGAATTTGTACAGGCATTTTAATTGACTTTTTTAATGAATTATATATACTCGGACTTAATTCTGAATTTTTGTTAACAGACAAGGATTTTTTTCAGATATTAGCCACCAGATTTGTTTGGAAAAACGTTAAAGTTCAAATATGCCTTTGGCACATTAAGAGGGCTGTGAAGACCAGGCTTTCAAATACTATCAAACTGAAGCAAATTAATTATAATAGTCAAATAGCACATAATCAATTTCATTTTATTGATTCCGAATTTCATTCACAACTTAATATAACAAATTATATTTTTTGTTCCAAACAGTTTCATGGAACTATATAGGAAATGATGAATCAGCATTTACATATGCATCCTTTAATACCTAGTAACAATGAACAATATTTAACAATACCAGAAATTTGAACTATAGCTGTACAGGAAATTTATAGCTTTTGCTATCAACATTCACTAACATATCACTGGGTATACTTATAGAACGAATGGTACAATTCTGAATGTTGGTTTTTATGGCTACATGTAGGGATTGGAACTGCCTAAAATTTTTTTTAATCATTTAATCGTTTAACCATTTAACCATTTAATTTGGCCAGCATTAAAATAATTCCGGCCCACGATCAGCATAATTCTGTCTGGAATTATGAAACAATTTTTAAATGGTTAAATGGTTCCAATCCCTAGCTACATACAGGTCATAATATAAAAATTTCAATTTTTAAAACAAATATGTTTGTCAAATCACACTGGAAAGTACTGAAATATGATTTTTTGTATAAATTTTTTTGTCCACAATTAGATCTTGTTGTTTTTATTATTATGACACAAGTAGTTACACACCAACAAAGGAAACTTCAACAAGTTTTAACTGGTATTGAAAAGGCTGATTGGTGTAAAGCATTTAAAAGAGAATAGAGAAAATTGAAAACTTGTGTAATACAAGATGCTTATTTTACTGATGTCTCAAATTAGGTATATAGATGTTCATCTTTTTTGACTAACCGTTTCTTTATTTGTAAACATCTTGTATTACAAAAAGGAACTGTGTCAGCTGAATTTTTTGATCAAGTTCACTATTACTATCAATATCCATTTCTTGATATTTTGGATATACAAGCTAGTAATATTAAATGATCTATTTTTTATATTTCTTATAATATGACAAATGAAGTTATTGAAAATATTGAAGATATGCAAAATTCTGATGAATTGTATATTAGACTTATTAACTTAACAAAAAAAACACTTGAAATTCTTGAGGATCAAAAGAACAAAAAAAATTTTAGGTGGGTTAAAATGTGGAAAAAAATTTTAGGCCGATAGAACAAATGGTTAATGAAATTATTTTATACAAATGAAGAAAAACAATGCCTCGAACATTTAAAGATCATTTGCACAATATTTTGTTTTTTAATTAGATATTATGCATAATATATGTGCTTTAAATATATGCTTTGAAAAGTATTAATAAATCAAGTT